GCAGTGGTGTGTCACCTGCACTCAGCTGTGCACAGTGGCCCTGGAACCCACAAGCTCAGAGGTCAGGGTGAGGGACAAAGGGCATGGTGATGTAAGGAGAGGAGACTTAGATGGGTTTCAGAGGCCAGTTCTGAGTGCTGGGAGGACCTCAGAAGCCACCTGCTCCAACCGGTCCCTAGGCTGGCGTGGGATGAAGGGGCCCTCCTGAGCCCCACGCGGTTCTTAGTGGTGAGGGTCAGCGGCCTCCAGAGGTTGAGAATTGTTCACGTGGAGGAAAACGCCTGAATTTAGAGCCGGATTGGCGTCCCGATCTTGGAAGACACCTGGGGGAAGCCTCCTAAACCTCCAGCCTTGATTTCCCCACCCTCATTTTGTACTGTGGCGTTCAGCTGAGACACCGGATGTGAGAGCTTGCTAAACGCCTGATCGATGCTCATTATGTCATTAGCTGTCTTTCTCCAAGTCCGGGCAGCTGGGAAGCAGGCTTCCTGCTCTCCGACAGCCACGCAGCCCGCTCCTGCTCCCTGCCCGGCGCGCCGGCCTCTCTCGGGTCTGTGTAAGCGCCGCCTGTGCGCTATGCTTCGCGCTGGGCCTCCGCCAGGTCTCCCTGCCCTTTGCCATGTTCCTGTCAGTCTGTGGTTTTAGACTCCAGCTTCATCAGAAATGCAAACTAGCAAATCCTCTGTTTGTGGGTGCAGAGTGGAAGGGGTGCAGGAGTAGCTGAGGGGAAGGAGAAGCTGGCTGCCAACAGCCTCCTGTGTTCCAGCCAGTAAACGCTGGCTACTGTCTGCATAAGCCTTTAAGGCAGCCGACTGAATTGTCTTCTGAGCGCCAACAGCATGACTATCTGCCCGGGCCGTGAACTTCCCGAGACGATGGTGTGCACATCTGCTGTCCAAAGAACTTTTAAAAGATTCCAACAGAACAGCGTTTGGAGTAAGAACTAGTTCAGAGTTTTAACCACCGGTTAGCAAGTTTGTGAGTCTCGATACTTCTTTAAGACCAACTATTGATTGAGACGGTCCTAAAGCATGTTCACCTACAGCAGTGGTGGGCAAACTCCTCAGTCAGCAGAGCGGCAAACTGTGGCTCACAAGGCACATGTGGCTCTCGAGCCACGGTTTGCCAACCACTGACGTACAGCATTCGAAGGCAATTCTTGTGGCTCATTTTCTTTGAATGTACCGTGTTTCCCCGAAAATAAGACATCCTCCGAAAATAAGACCTACTCACAGGGTTCCTTCTGAGTGAAATATAAGGCATCCCCCCGAAAACAAGGCCCCCCTTGGCTAAACATGAGAGATTTGGTCCACTGATTCTGAAAGAAATGGAGTCACAAGAAATTCACCAGGAAATTCAGCAATTGGATTGTTGTGATGATGTTACAGAAGATGATGACATGATTGTCATTGAATAAATGAGTAAATTCTTGATACTGTAGGATTCACAGTTTGTCTGGTTTGTGTTGACAACTACTGTCCTACCGTACCTTATACAGGTAATAAATTTCCTTTATTTTCATTGAACAATAAATGTGTACCGTATTCTTCTTCATGGAAAAATAAGACATCCTCTGAAAATAAGACCTAGCGCATCTTTGGGAGCAAAAATTAATATAAGACGCTGTCTTATTTTCGGGGAAACAGGGTAGGTCTGCCTCCATTTCTAACGCTCCCAAGTACCTTTCCTTACAGCAGTAAAATAGAAGGGGAAAGGTTTAAACGCTCTTGGTTCTTTCCTCGGATCTAAATGAGGTCTTGGCCTGGTCCTCCCTTGCACGGGCTGACGTTCCCTACCCAGAGCATGAACCAGTTGGGTCGGTGTGGCCGGTTCGCAGCTGGTTACTGATTGCCAGCCAGGAGGCGGGGAGCACTGCGGCTTGTCTCCATCACCGAAGATCAGCGTGCGGCTGGCGGTAAGCCCTCAGCACGACGGGTCAGGACCCGATGAAATGCTTTTGCACAAGTGCTACTGTACTTCCCTGAAGTTTTAAAAAAAAGAGCTTTTTCCTAGACGTTTCTAAAAATAGGCTGCGTTCGTTCTTAGTTTGACGCTGTCTGCAGCTCGGCTATTGCTAACGCTCACACTAGGAAAAAACCACCCGTTTAGGACTGTATGTGTGTGTGAGGGAATTATCGAGTATTTTCACATGGGGATGTGACTGTAGAACGGGTGGGGAATGTCCTGCCTGAGGACCGTACGGGGCCCAGTAAGTCATTAGGTCTGGCCCTGCCAAGGCATCGGGGTGAGTGAATTGAGTGTTGGACTACAACAGGCTAATTCTAAGTTGACCATTTCGTGTGGCCCTGGAATGATGTTATGAATATCCGAATGGGCTTTGGCAGAAAACAGGTTCCCCAGCCCCGCTGTAGGACAACCCCTGTACGTCCACACGATCTAGGCTTTATTGCAATTACCTCGGGGAAAGGCAGGGTGCTGGGTAAGGGGTGGGCGACTCCCATTCAACTCACAGTGCTGAGGCGGGTAACAAAGACAAGTAGCAGGTGGGTCGATCAGAGGGGAAGGCAGGTGCACACGCCAACTGCAGAAGGTTGCTTTGCTCATGTGGAATTGGGGTACTGTGTGGAGTGTGACAGCTCAGTGCCGAGAGAACCGACTCAGTTTGCCTGCTTAGCCTCAAAGTCTCCCGTAAGCATCTCCCTCAGAGAGGCCCAGCCTGATCACTGGATGTGAATGGTGGTAACACCCATCAATCTTGTAGATATTAATTTTGTACTGTATCTCCCCCACCCGCCCCCCCAAGCTGGTTGGCCCACTGAGCACCTGGCCCAGTCTTTAGCGCTGTCCGCCAGCTCCCGGCACCCGTCCGGTGCCCACTCGATGTTCAGATATGTTCAGGGACTGGAGTCGTTTAATTCCTATGAATTCATCTAGAATAAAATGTGCTGTGAGTGTATATTGACAGTCTGTTTCTTTCCTGGTCTGCCTTGTGTTGGTTCAACATACCACCCAACATCTGATCATTTCAGTGGCTTTTCAAAATATGCCCATTGTCTCTCCCTATTGGGGAGCAGAGCAGAAAGAAAACAATGTCTGTTTTCAGAGCTGGCACTGGCAGTGACACTGACTGATGCCTGTCCCTGCCCATGGGTGGAGCAGTGGGGTGACTCTGCTCCTAGCTTCTCATTGGCCATCCTTCACCCCTCTTCTCCTGGGACGTCAAGTATGGATTTTGCCTGCTAGTTACCTTTAGCCCAGTGGGCAGCCGCACAGGGCTCAGCATGTGACTAATGCCCTGAGGGACCTTGGCAGGGGGGTAGGCACCAGGCTGAGCTCCTCCGCCCCTGCCCCCCCCCCACCCCGCCGCCTTTTCTGTGTCTGCAGTGGTGTGTCACCTGCACTCAGCTGTTGGTGGCACAGATGGTGAGTGGTTTTGTAAGTACTGGTGTTTTCTCTCCAGAATTCTGACCTGAAGAAATGTGCTTATCTGTTCCTTCTCTGTTGTCATGTCAGAGCTTGAAATTTCCAGTGTGTGTGTGTGTGTGTGTGTGTGTGTATACGTACATATGTACTTACACCTACACAGAGCTGTTGTAGCATAAGATTGCATGAGCTGAACAAATTAATTCTATTGGCCCATGTAGTATCAGTGGCCAATGAAAACACTTGATATGCTGCTACGCTGTAAAGAAAAAAATACAGTAGCCCAGACTGAAATTAAAGGAGGATTTCTGTATTTGAAAAAGGAGGATTATTGTCAGTCTGTGTAAAAGAACATATAACAAGCAGTTCACAGATACCTGAACTTCAAGCTAAATGAACCCTTAGTGGATTGCCAGGAAATTTTCGAGAAAACTCTTTCAGGTCACTTACTGTTCTTTCCTTTCCTTTACTATCAAACTTACTATAGAGCGGTTATTCATCAATAACTTTCTAATGAGAATTATTCTTCTATATTATCTGTACTTCACATTTTTATACTGGTGTATATGTAAGTTGTAACATGCAATTTGAGGCTGTAATATACTTTAAGTTCACCTAATTTTGGCTTCTAAATTTCGTTTACAAACTTTCATTACCTCTGAACCTTACCGTTCTGCACGCAGGACTAACCGCAGAGCAATGGCAGAGGACATACCGTAATAACGATGCCTCCCTCTATGGAGCGCTCTGTGCCTCGTACCATTCTGAGTTCTAGGTGAATTACTTAGCCCTCACAAAAGCCCTCCGAGATAGGTTAACCTTTCCCACCTCCATGTAGACACGAGGAAACGGAGGCACAGAGAGGCGAAGTCATTTGTCCCAAATCACACAGCTTGTGAGCCGGGGAGGCAGGGTTTGGTTCCAGAACCTGGGATCTTAAGTCCTATTCTGTACGTTTTCTCAAACACTGCGCTGCCACCTCTCTGAGTGTGCGGTGGTTGGTGTACGGTGTCTGCGTGCTCACCTGTTAGGGTGTGTTGGCTGTGCTCCGCCGAGGAGCACAAAGGAAGTTCTTTTATCAGCACAGCCAGCGGTGGCTCCCCAGGCGCCTGCTTCTGCTGCCGCCTCCAGGTGCAGGGCGGGGGCGGGGGACACACGGTGACATTGGACCGGGCTGTTGGCCAGTTGGGAGCTGGTTGTGGGACAAGTGAAAGCCGGCGGCCCTGGGTGGTTTGGGCTTGTGTGTGCCTCTTCGCTCCTCTCCCCGGGGCTGTGCTGGCGGCAGTGACTCTATGACTGTGTGGAGGAGAGCCTTCAGGGGAGGGTATCCTCTCAGGGGAGGGGAGGGTGACTTATGCCACTCAGCTGAGCAGTTCACGCCGCTGGGCACCAAAAACCTTCCCCTCGTGTCTCCACCGACCGAGGGAAGGTTCTGTGCGCACACATTTCTCAGTGTGGTTCGGGGAAGCCGGACGCAGGCCGATGGGTAGAACGCTTCCTCGGGGGGGGGCGTGCAGAACGGGAAGCACCGCCAGGAGGAGGCCCGGGCCCTGGCTGCGGCCGGCGGGTGGCGCAGGGGTCCCGCCCGGAATGAACATGTCTCTCTCCCCCCACAGAAGCCAGCGTAGGGCAGCACCGCGACGATGCAGGCCCACGAGCTGTTCCGCTACTTCCGGATGCCGGAGCTGGCCGACGTGCGGCAGTACGTGCGCACGCTGCCCACCAACACGCTCATGGGCTTCGGCGCCTTCGCCGCGCTCACCACCTTCTGGTACGCCACGCGGCCCCGCGCCCTGAAGCCGCCCTGCGACCTCTCCATGCAGTCGGTGGAGGTGGCGGTAAGTGGGGGGCTGGCCTGCCCGGGTCCCCCTGCCCATCCCCAATGATCCGCGCCCATCAGACGTGATGGCGTGCAGGGCTCTTGGTCAGGGGAGATGGACCCAACAGACAAGTTTGCCGATGACTGTAAGTGGAGGTGCAGGCTAGAGTGTGGGGCAGAGGGACAGATGAGGGGTGTTGGCTGGGGGGCTCTGCCCATCGTCACTCGGGCTCATCCCAGAAGTCCCCGGCGCCTCTCCCCTGCACTGGCACTGCGGCCGCCCCAAGATTCTGCGACAGGAGCCACAGGGGGGACAGGCAGAGCCCCAGCTCTCGCAGGCCTTGTGTTCCCGCGGAGAAGAGGGTTGTCCCACGCACGTGCAGTATCTGAAAGTTAGAACACATCCCACAGCCATTGAAAGGGACTCTGGGATCTTAAATAGAACTTGCCAGAATGACGCGGCCACAGCTTTGATAGGACACCCGGGGCGTCTGCGGTTGCGCTGCTGAGTGCCATGGCTGTGTGTCCCTCGGGCAAACGGAAGGTCAGGCTGTCACTGCTGGAAAACACACTGGAGCGTGCCCTCCATAAGGCGGCCGATCGGTGGGATGGCCGAGGACATGGGAACGGGCCGGCTCCCTCCCAGCCTCTGCTCCTTCCTCCGCCTCGAACCTTCCCCCGGCCAGGGGAAACGGGAGGGGAAGGTGAGCGGTGCTCAGCGGCGTGACTCCTGCCCCGCTCTCCATGCTGTCCTTTCTCCCTCTCCTGCCCGACCCCGGTGCCTGTCCAGTGCGCGGGGCCTTCGACTTATATGAGAAACGGTTGTAAATGCAGGATTGCCTCACGCCCTGCCTCAGATGTGGGTGAAAAGCCTCCTCCGGCAGGCAGGCCTGTGGGGGAGGGAGCGTGCCCTTCTAAATATAGCTGCTTCTTACTTACAAGACTTCAGTTCTTTCAGACAATCTCTTGGGTTCGTTAATGTGACACTCATAAAATAGAAAAGACATGCCAGTTTTATTCATGTCAAAACGTAGGAATAGAAGGAGTGAACTGCTGAGGAGAGATGGCTCTAAGATACTTTATTTCTGTATAGAAGGTCAGCTTATTAGTTCACCTCAGCTAATGATATTCCAATGGTGAGTAGAAGCTAATGTGCTCTGACAGGTACCAGTGAGGTCTGGGGCATGCTCTCTCTCCTGGCAGCGTTGCCCTCACTGTGAGAAGAGGGCGTGGCGAGTGCAGATTTAAGATGTTTGTAATTTAGGCTGGCCGGCGTGGCTCAGTGGTTGAGCCTTGACCTACAAACCAGGAGGTCAAGGCTAATTCCCTGTCAGGGACATGCCCGGGTTATGGGCTCCATTCCCAGTGTGGGGTGTGCAGGAGGCAGCCCATCAATGATTCTCTCTCATCATTGATGTTTCTTTCTTTCCCTCTCTTTTCCTCTCTGAAATCAATAAAAGTATATTTTTAAAAAGAGATGTTTATAATTTAGCAGTAACTGTAAAAATCACCTAAGTCTTATTTCTTGTATGAGAAATTGTGGAAGCACTTACAATGTGATTTTTAAGTTCCAGCTTAGCATGAAGTCACTGAGTCTTACTGAAATACTCATACATTTTCACTGTAGACCAGTTTAAAACTACAGATAAGCAGAAAGAAAATTACAATCTGTAATTTCACTACCCGGTATGTAGCCTTCCTGATTTTTCTTAGAAATGGATTTAGCTCAGATGTTCAGAATTTGTAGGTTTACAGACTTTGCTTTGCATTTCTAAAAGGTCATCTTAAAATAATGGATGTGAGATTAGCCTTGGATGATACTTAGTAGTTATAAATGCTTGTCTGGAGCGCACTCATCACACGGGCTTCTGTGGCAGAGAGAGGAACTTAATTCATTTCATTAAGTATTAATCAGGAGCTTGTGTATCTGGCAGGGCCGGCCGCCCGATGAAAATGTTGTCGCTTCACGCCCTGTGCCAGTCCCCACTCTCACCCCACGTCCCCTGTCACACCGCGGTCCGCACCCTCCGCTCCCGTACACTCTGCCTGCCGGGCATTAACATGAGGAGCGTCTGCTCTTTGGGGTTTGGCTGCGTCTCCTCCCTGCCCACACTGGCTGTTTTTAAAGCAGCAGCACTGAGGTCTCTTATAAAAGTCACAGCTGCTGACATGACATGTCCTTCCACACATCTGGCTCGTACAGAGGACGTTAGCCCTCACGTCTGCACCTGCACAGGAAGGCAATAAGGACATACACTGTAGAATGGACAGGGTCGCTGGTGTTAGCAACAGAATCCAGTGTCTTCAGATAGATAGATAGATAGATAGATAGATAGATAGATAGATTTTTATTTATTTTTTAAAAAATATATTTTATTGATTTTGTACAGAGAGGAAGGGAGAGATAGAGAGTTAGAAACATCGATGAGAGAGAGAGTCATCGATCAGCTGCCTCCTGCACACCCCCCACTGGGGATATGCCTGCAACCAAGGTACATGCCCTTGACCGGAATCGAACCCGGGACCCTTCAGTCCCCAAGCCGACGCTCTATCCATTGCGCCAAACCGGTCTCGGCAGATTTTTATTGATTTCAGAGAGGAAGAGAGAGGGAGAGAGAGGAACATCAATGATGAGAGAGAATCATTGATCAGCTGCCTCCTGCATGCCCCCCCCCAACCCCCCCACTGGGGACCTAGCCCGCAGCCCGGGCATGTGCCCTGACTGGGAATCAAATGGTGATCTCCTGGTTCACAGGTCAACACTCAGCCACTGAGCCACCCCAGCCGGGCACTTCGCCGCCTTCTTTAAATCTGTGAGCGAGGCCTGCTCTCGTCCTGTGTAGAGAGCTGTGTCCCTGCCTCGCTGGCAGCTCCCAGGCGGCCTTTCCTGGGTCAGGGAAGGTTCCGTCTTCCAAAGGGAGTTTGCTGCTGCTGCCGCATGACTTCGAGCAGACGACAGAAGCGAATCGTTGTGCTTGTTCTTCCCCCCCCCAATCACTTTCACACGCGGGCATTAGCTTAGCTGGTCTCAGCCTATTCTCTGCGATTGTGGTCCCCGTGCCCCCCTGTGAAGATGATCTCCCCTGGGGGGACTGGGAACCATGAGGGACTGGTCAGGGCCCTGACCACGGCGGCTGCAGCAGGCACACAGGAGAGCATGTTGGAGCTGGAGGGGACCAGGCCAGAGAGAGGAGGCCGAGGCCGGACCGCCCCTCAGCGTGGACCAGGCGGCCGTGGGCAAGTGCTCCCGCCTCTTCTGACCTTCAGTTCCTCGTCTGGGAGACTGAGAGCCAGTGCCTGCCCCAGCACGTTGGTGAGAGGACCGTGTGGAGATAGGCAGAGGTCTCCCTGGCCCCCTGGACGTCAGTGCTCAGAGAATGCCAGTTTTCTTCCGGAAAGGTCTCCTCGTTCACCCTCACTTGTGCACGTGAGAGAAAACAATCATCTAAGGAGGGGAGCTGCACCGGCCAGCCAGCTCGGCCATGTATCCGCACCTGTGGCCGGAGGGGGCGATAGATACATGGGACCAGAAGGAACATGTGGGTCTTTCTAGATAAATCTGAAGGATCGGTGGCTGGAGCTCTCGATCCTAGGAGCAGGCTCTTCTGAAAATGGATGCGCAGGGAAGTGAACCCAAAGGTGGTGATGGAACTGAGAGGAGAAAGGGGGGGGGGGGTAGGTCAGAGATGGGGTCGGGGGTTCTGCACATAGTGGGACATGGGATCAGAAGCTGTCAGGAATGGGAGTGAGGACGGGGGAGGGACACAGCTGTCTGAACCTGGGCCCGCGAGCTTCTGCCTTCGCCTCACCCTGCACCCTCAACAAGGCGGGCTGGGAGCCGGGGGCTGCAGAGGGGGTGTTTAGGGGAGCTTTTGCTTAAATGTGTTACTCTGGGGGGGGGGGGGGGGTGCAGACATCGGCACTTTTATACCGATAGGTGACTTTTGCACCTTTTCTAAAACCTGGGGCTTTTTAATAACTATGAAAACCTGGCTAACTCACTTTTTCTTAAGAAACTCACGTTGTGGGGAACAACTTGGTTTCCACGTGTTGTTGGACTTGGCCGCTAACTCGAAAGCGACTAGTGTTTCGAAGGCGGTGGGAGAGGGTTTGCTGGTCATGGGAAGCGGCTTTGGGGGGATGGGCTCCGAAGGGTGGGGGGGCGGGCAGCGCAGGGAGCTGGGGAGGAGTTTCTGAGCTGGGTGCTATGCCTGGCCAAGTAGCTGCCTTCGGGAATTCCAAGAACCAAGTAGCTGCCTTCGGGAGTACCAAGTAGCTGCCTTCGGAAGTACCAAGTAGCTGCCTTTGGGAATTCTAAGTACCAAGTATCTGCCTTCGGGAATTCCAAGAACCAAGTAGCTGCCTTCGGGAATTCCAAGCTGGGAGGGGATTGTTTTAGGAAAAACATCCTGGGTTCCTTTTAACCGGGAAGAAACGCCCGGGTCACTGGGTGGGAATACGGTGAAGCAGGTCTGAAAACACAGTGTCGTTTTGTAGAAACGGTAGCACTTCCCGGCCTCAGCCAGCCGGGAGCACGTGTGCTCTCATGTGGGCTGTGATGCTCGTTGGTTTTTTTGTTAATCCTCCTCCAAGGATATTTTCCCATTGCTTTTTAGGGAGAGTGGGAGAGAGAGGGGGAAAGACAGAGAGAAACCTGGATGTGAGGGAAACACACCGATTGGCGGCCTCCTGCATGAGCCCTGACTAGGGCCAGGGTTGGGGAGGAGCCTGCAACCAAGTACATGCCCTTGGCCGGAACTGAACCCGGGACCGTTCAGTCCACAGGCTGACGCTCCATCCACTGAGCCAAACTGGCTAGGGCTGTAATGCTTATTCAAGTTTAAAAATAGCCTCCCCGAAGCAGGTTCAGCTCACGCCAAGTGGAAGACGACGGACGTGAGCGTTCCCAGCCTCTGGACACAGATCCCGGGTTACGCCAACCTCTCACAGGCCGCGCTGGGCTCTGGGCCTGCAGCCTTCGCTTCGGGAGCGAGGGACGCCTGACCCGTTCTAAACGGC